GGTAAATCTTCATGACATTGGATTTGGTGACAGATTCCTAGATTTGACACCAAAAGCACAAGCGACAAAAGAAAAAATAAATTGGAGCTCATCAAAATAAAAAACGTGCATCGGGGCTGGCCCAGTGCTGCAGCGGTTAAGTGCGCACGTTCCCCTTTGGCGGCCCAGGGTTTGCCGGTTCAGATCCCGGGTGCGGACACAGCACCGCTTGGCATGCCATGGTGTGGTAGGCGTCTCACATAGAAAGTAGAGGAAGATGGGTAGGGATGTTAGCTCAGGGCCAGTCTTCCTCAGCGAAAAGAGGATTGGCAGCAGTTAGCTTAGGGCTAATCTTCCTAAAAAAAAACCCAAAAGTGTGTGCATCAAAGGATATTGTCAAAAATGTGAAAAGGCAGCCTACAGAATGGGAGAAAATATTTGCAAATCATATATCTGATTTGGGTTTAACTTCCACATTATGTAAAGAACTTTTATAACTCAACAGTAAGAAGATAAGCAGCCCAATTAAAAGGAAAGGAACAGACATTTCTTCAAAGAAGATACGTAAATGGACAACAAGCACATGAAAAGCTGTTCAATATCATTGGTTATTTAAAAAATGCAAATTAAAGTCACAATGAGATACCATTTCATACCCCCTAGGATGACTAATGGGGCAACAAAAAAGAAACTAACAACGCTTGGTTAGGATGTGGAGAAGTAACCCCCATGCGTTGCTGGTGAGAATGTAAAGTGGTGCAGCCGCTGTGGTAAACAGTTTAGCAGCTCCTCAAAGGTTAAACGTAGAATTACCACGTGATCCAGCAGTTCCACTCCTGGATAACATACCTAAGAGAAATGAAAATACTTGTCTATACCGACACTTGCACACGAATGTTTGTAGCAGCATTATTCATCATAGCCAAAAGGTGGAAACAACCCAGTCTCCATCAGTGGATGAATGGATAAACAAACTGTGGGATGTACAGCCAATGGAATATGATTTAGCCATAAAAGGAAAGAAGTATTGATACATGCTACCACTTGGATGAACCTCAAAAATACTGTGCTAAGTGAAAGAAGCCAGAAACAAATGGTCACATATTATATGAAATATCCAGAGTAGGTAAACCCATAGAGACAAGATGCAGATTAGAGGTTACCAGGAGCTGGGGGTGGGGATGCGGGAGATGGAGAGTGATTCCTTAATGGGACAGGGAGTTTTTATGTGGTGATGAAAACGTTTTGACACTGGAGACAGCTAGTAGTTGCACAACATTGTGAATACACTAAATGCTAATGAGTTCTAACAGTCAAGTTAAATTGTATGGTTTGTGAATTTGACCTCAATTTAAAAAAGAAAGTTTCTTCACAGAAAGAGTTTACTAAGGCTTTTCTTTGTGAGCAGCATAGTCCCGGCGGAGGAAAAGGCTGAGGAGTTAGGACATCAGCAGGGAGATGAGCTTGGCAGCAGCTTTCGGCAGAAGAGCCAATGGTTGACTCAGACGGTGTCACAGGAACCTATGCTCTGAGTAGCACCACCTGCAAAGCAGGGCTGAGGCAACCCTCTGGCTAGCCTCCCATCTACCTGCCGAGTGTGACCGCAAAGGGTTTTGTACTCCTAGCCTGAGCTGAAAGGCAGGGACTCTTTTATCACAGACAACAAGCATACTGAGTGAAGGAAAAACTGGTCACGCATTACCTAGTGGTTAGCAAAGTAAAAATACTGGATGCTCAAAAGTATTCTTAAAAAAATTTTTTTTTGTTTTATTGAGGTCATAATGGTTTATAACACTGAAATTTCAGGTGTACATTATTATTTATCACCTTCTGTATAGACTGCATTGTATTCACCACCAATAGTCTAAATTTTATCGGTCACCGTATATATGTGCCCTTTTACCCCTTTTGCCCACCTCCCAACTCCATTCCCCTCTGGTACCCACAAATCTGTTCTCTTTGTCCATGTGTTTGTTTATTTTCCACATATGAGTGAAATCATGGGGTGTTTGTCTTTCTCTGCATCTTATTGAGATGATCATGAGATTTTTTATTCCTCATTTTGTTATGTGGTGTATCACATTGATCGATTTGCGGATGTTGGACCATCCCTGTGTCCCTGGTATAAATCCCACTTGATCATGGTGTATACTCTTTTTAATGTATTGCTGTATTTGGTTTGCCAAAATTTAGTTGACAATTTTTGCATCTACGTTCATCAGCGATATTGGCTTGTAATTTTTCTTCTTTGTGTTGTTCTTGTCTGGTTTTGGTATCAGGGTGATGTTGTCTTTATAGAATGAGTTAGGAGAGCATTCTGTTGTCTCCAGTTTTTTGGAATAGTGTGAGAAGGAGACGTATTAAATATTTTTTGAATGTTTGGTAGAATTCTTCAGAGAAGCCATCTGGTCTTGGACTTTTAGTTTTTGGAGGTTTTTGATTACTGTTTCAGTTTCTTTACTTGTGATTTGTCTATTCAGATTCTCTATTTTTTCCTATTCAGTTTTGGGAGGTTGTATAGTCTAAGCATTTATCCATTTCTTCTAGATTGTCCAATTTTTTGGCGTATAGTTTTTCATCATTTTCTCTTAGAATCCTTTGTATTTCTGTGGTATTCATTGTAATTTCTCCTCATTTCTAACTTTATTTATTTGAGTCTCCTCTCTTTTTTTCCTAGTGAGTCTGGCTAGGGGTTTGTCAATTTTCTTTATCTTCTCAAAGAACCAGCTCTTTGTTTCATTGATCCTTTCTACTGGTTTTTTTTGTTGTTGTTGTTGTTTCTATTTCATTTATTTCTGCTATAATTTTTTATTATTTTCCTCCTTCTGCTGCCTTTGGGCTTTGTTTGTTCTTCTTTTTCTAGTTCTATTAGGTGTAGTTTAAGATTACTTATTTGAGATTTTTCTTGTTTGTTGAGGTGGGCCTGTATTGCTATGAATTTCCCTCTTAGGACCCCTGTTGCTGTATCCCACAAGAGTTGGTATGATGTGCTTTCATTTTTATTTGTCTCCAGATTTTTTTTATTTTTCTTTTGATTTCTTCACTATCTGTTTGTTGTTCAGTAGCATTTTGTTTAGTCTCCACGTATTTGTGACTTTCCCAGCTTTTTTCTTGTAGTTGATTTCTAGTTTCATAGCATTATGGTCAGAAAAGGTGCTTGATATAATTTCAAACTTATTAAATTTATTGAGGCTTGCCTTGTTTCCCAATATGTGGTCTATTTTTGAGACTGTTCTACGTACACTTGAGAAGAATGTGTATTCTCCTGTTTTTAGATGGAGTGTTCTGTATATATCTATTAAGTCCATCTGGTCTAGTTTTTTCATTGAATTCCACTATTTCCTTCTTGGCTTTCTGTCTGGATGATCCATCCATTGATGTAAGTGGGGTGTTGATGTCCCCTACTATTATTGTGTTGCTGTTAATTTCTCCCTTTAGATCTGTTAATAGTTCCTTTATGTACTTTGGTGCTCCTGTGTTAGGAGCATATATATTCATAAGTGTCATGTCCTCTTGGTGCAGTGTCCCTTTTATCATTGTATACTGCTCCTCTTTGTCTCTTATTGCCTTTTTAATCTTGAAATCTGCTTTGTCTGATATACGTGTGGCAACCCTTGCTTTCTTTTGTTTGCCATTGGCTTGGAGTATCGTCTTCCATCCCCTCACTCTGAACCTGGGTTTGTCTTTAGAGCTGAGATGTGTTTCCTGGAGGCAGCATATTGTTGGGTCTTGTTTTTTAATCCATCCAGCTACTCTGTATCTTTTGATTGGAAAATTCAGTCCATTTATATTTAGAGTGATTATTGAGATATGAGAGCTTAATACTGCCATTTTACCTCTTGTCTTCCAGTTGTTCTATATTTCCCTAGTTTCTTGTCCCATGTATTTCTGACTGCCATTCCAGTTTGGTGATTTTCTATAATGGTTTTCTTTTTATTTATCATTGTGTCTGACGTTTTGTTTAGTGGTTACCATGAGGTTTGTATAAAAGACCTTGTAGATGTGACAGTTCATTTTCTGATAGTGTCTTATCTCCTTAGCCTAAACAGATTCCATCCCTTTCCTCTGCCCCCTCTAAGCTATTGTTGTCACAAGTTATTCCATTTTGTTTTGTGAATTTGTGTTAAAAATGAAGTGTTTATAGGTATTTTTGATGCTTTTCTTCCCTTTACCTTTAATGTTGTAATTGTTTCCTAAACTGTTTTAATAGAGAGTGGCAATTTTCTGAATTTGCCTGTCTATTTATCTCCTTGCTCAAGTCTTTGTAAACCTTTTCTTTTTTTTTTTTTTTTTCAAGTATGAGGGCCTTCTTGCTCATTTCTTCTGGGGGGAGGGGGTCTTGTAGTGATGAACTCTCTCAGCTTTTGTTTATCTGGGAAAGTTATTATTTCTCCACTGTATATGAAGGATAATTTCGCTGAGTAGAGTATTCTTGGCTGAAGTTTTTTCTTTCAGTATTTTGAATATATCATTCCACTCTCTCCTAGCTTTGAGGTTTCTGCTGAGAGCTCCACTGAAAACCTGATAGGGGTTCCTTTGTAGGTTATTTTCTTCTGCTTGCTGCCCTTAATATGTTTTCTCTGTCATTGACTTTTGCCAGTTTTACTAATATATGCCTTGAAGGTCTTTTTGCATTGATGTAACTAGGAGTTCTATTGGCTTCATTTACTTGTAGTTCCAGCTCCTTCCCCAGGTTTGGGGAGGTCTCAACTGGTATTTCTTTGAGCAAGCTCTCTGCTCCTTTCTCCCCATCCTCTCCCACTGCAATACCTATAATTCTCTGTAGTTGGTCATTTAGATTAGTTTTTTCACTAATAAATAGTGTGATGATCGTATTTTTGGATAAATATTATTTTATATTTAGATAATTTAAAAAGAATTTCTGAGTCAAAGTCACCCCCTGTCTGTCAGTTGCCATGCTGTGGTGGCGACTCACATGGAAGAACTAGAACAACTTACAACTAGCATATACTACTATGTCCTGGGGCTTTGGAGAGGGGGAAAAAAAGAGGACGATTGGCAATAGATGTTAGCTCAGGGTGAATCTTTCCCTGCAAAAAACAAAACAAAATAAAACAAAACAAACCCCCCAAACTTTTGTTATAGACATTTTACCAGGTTATTATGCAAGTCTTCATAATGATGACTGGATGTATATATAGCGAGTGGTCATTCTTACCATTTGGGGAATTCCTATTATCTCTGATTTTTCATGAGTACCAATCGGGCAGCAATGAATATTTTGTGTAGAAATATTTTATTTTGGATTTTCTAAGTTTTTAGGAGCAATATTGATGATTCAAAAGCAGGGGCTAGAAGGAAGGAAACTCCCATTTACCGAATTCAGGCGTCTGCATAAAATATCCCTGGAAGGCTACACACGAGGAATTGGCCAGTTTGGTTGCTTGTGGGGAGAGGAACCGAGTTCAATGGGAACAGGAATGGAAGGCAGAGTGTCCACTGTGTGCTGTTTAGAACTTGTAAAATATCGAACCACGTGAGTGCATTACCTAGTTAAAATAATTAGCTACCTTAAAAAACTTAGAAATAGTTCAATAATAAATGTGCTTAAAAAAAGACAAATCCACTAGGAGGCAGCATTGCTCTTTCAGGAGGAAGGTGGTAGTGTGTGGGCTCGGTCTGGTGCACGAAGGCTGGGACTGTGGGGCAGAGTTTTTCTTCCTCATTTTCTGTATTGTTCTAATAATCTACAAAGACCTATACAGAAATAAAATATACTTAATTTAAAGAAAGAAGGAAGTGTCAAGCCCTGTCCCTCTTTAGCTGTGGGGCCATAACTCTGTGTATGTGTATAAATTCCTAAAAGTAGGGTTACTGAGGAGGAGGAGGTTACGCTGAAAATATTGCTAGATATTCCAAATAGCCCTCTGGTTGTGTTATCCTGCACCATTAACAATGGTACATGCAGGTTCTGTTTCTAACATCCTTGACAACACGGCGTAGCGTTACATTGTTAGATCTTGTTCAATCTGATAAATTAAAATATCTCCTTAATTAGTATATATTTAGCTATGAGGGACGCTCGCTGTGTTTTCATATATTTAAAAGAAATTTCTATTTATTTTTCTGTGAACTACTTCCCCCACGCTAACGAGGCCAGGGGATTCCTCCATGTTATTTCTCACTGCTCTGTGCACTCGACACCTGTTCTTAAACGAATGAATGATAAAGAACTTTTCTGAGTTCTAGTTTCCTCGACTCTAAATGGGGATGTGTCTTGTTGCTGCCTCATGGGGGGGCGGGATTGAGCCCTCCTCCAAATTTGGTTTGGACATCTGAGACTGATGGTGTATACATGCAACAAGAGGGTAGGAAAGTATTTATTATTGACATAATGAGGCTTTCTGGGGAGAGCAGGGCAGGCTCCCAAGCAGGTCTGAAAATGGCTTGAGAGAGCAGGGAGGGGCAACGGCCCATTTCACTGGGGGTAGGGCCGTGGCGAGGGTCCCACAAGAGGGTTAGGGCTTGTGTGGTTTGAACTTCCCGCAGGTGCCCAGGGTGGGAGCCCTGGGGCTTTCTTATGGGCTCGCCCAGATGTGGGCCAGTGGGGAACAGGGAGGAAAGGGCCTGACAGCTGTCAGCAAAGAAGTCAGCCTTCGTATTACAGGGTGACAGGCCCTCATCTCACTGAAGATTAAGTGAGGTAGTATACATAGCAAGGTCAGCACAGAGCAAGTGGCCAACAAGTGATTGGCGTTAGGGTTGTTATTCTTGAGGCTTTCAATTCTAGCTTTGTAAAGACAGAGTTGTTTCTTCGGCACATGACCTTAGAATATTTTCTTCAGGAGTGGGATCCATCGTTACGGGGTGTGGCCACTTTTACCTGTGCTGTGGCTGATTTGTCTTTGTTTCTTGCCACTGGACCAGGTCCAGCATTTCCCAAGGAGTCAAAGAAAGAACATGTCCACCTCCAGAAGGCACAATGCTGGGTGCTTCGTGTCAGCGGATGCTAACTGACATGAATGAAAGAGAATACCCCTGGGGTGTGGAGTGGGGAGGTCGGCTGGTGAAGTTGAACATACGCATATCATCCAGAGATTCCACTGCTAGATATATACCCAAGAGGCATGCTGACACATGTTCACAAGAAGACATGTACAAGAATGTGTATAGCAACTCTATTCCTGATAGGCCCAAACTGGAAACTACCCAAATATCCATCAACAGTAAAGTGGATAAATTGGAGTATATCCACACACTGGAATGTTGCACATCAAAGAGTATGAAAGATCCACAATAACACTCAGCAATATGGATGAACCTTCTACATAGAATGTCAAGTGACAGAATCCAGAGACCAAACACAAAATACATACAGTGTAATTCCATTCAAATAAAGCACAAAAACTAACCTTTGCTTCTACAACCGAAGAGAATGGTTACCCTGGGAGGGGGCACAAAAGATGCTTCTAGAGTCCTGGTAATGTTCTATTTCTTGATCTGGGTGCTGGTTACCTGGGTGGGTTCATTTTGTGAAAATTCAGTAAGGTGCACACTTTTGATATGAATATATTTCTCTGTGTGTGTTAAGGCCCTATTTTAAAAAAAACAACCAACAACGTCACTGGGGAAAAATCTAAAAGGAAGCTTACCACCATGTTAACTGGGGTCGTGACAAGGTAATGAGACTCTGCCTGGAGTTTCCCTTGTCTCCCTGTACGCTCCTAATTTGCTACAATTCATTCATTCAATACGTATTTATGGAATTTCTACTGTGTCCGAGGCACTGTTCATTCAGCTCTGCTGGGTACACAAGAGCAAACAAGACGGACGAATGCTCTGCACTTGCTAAGCTTACATTCTAGAAGAGGGGGTGAACAATAAATAACAAACATGTAAATAAATGATGTCAAACGGTAACAATCGCTGTGGAGAAAGGAAATCAGGAAGAGGGAGATGGAAAGTGCTGCGAGCGTGGTGCTATTTCATCATAAAGATAAAGAGCAGTTTGAGTAGAAACCTGTTGGAAGTAAGGGAGCAAGCCATGCAGATATGGCTGGGGAAGGAGAGAAAGGACTCCAGGGAGAGGGTACAGCAACTGCAAAGGCACCGAGGTGGGAGCACCCTTTATTTCTCAGAGAAGATCAAGAGGGTCACAGTGCCAGTTATCAATTTATTCTGTCTCAGCTCCAAATCCACCCTTGGTGCCTGCTCTGTGGCTAGATAAAAATATTTTTTGTCAGCGGGCACGATGTTAAGGTCTGCCAGTAGAGGGCGCCAGAGAGACGCTGCAGGAGAGAGGGCTTCCTGCGCTGGTTCTGGTGCTCTCTGCGCGGCACTGCTTCCAGGGCCCGCCAACGCCCTGGTGGTCTCAGCCCTGGGGGCTTCTGCAGGGAAGATGGCTTCTTCGGCACCGGCTCCGGCAATGCACGGTGGCCATTAGCACCCAGCAGCCAGCAGCTTCCCCTGGCGCCGGTCTTGGGCAGTTTGTAACAGAGTGCCTCTGGGGAGTCACCTCACCATGAATGGCTTTCTCTGGCATCCTAGAGGGCAGATATTTTCTTTTAGGCACTTATCACTAGCTTTAATTACTTATTCATGAATTTGTTTACTTTTATTTCTCATTTTACTTTTCACACCTTTTAAAATGTTGTGATTGAATACCTGTGTCCACCAGCTGGAAGGTTAGCCTGGTGAGTGTAGGGAACTTGTAATGTCCCTGCTCTGTCCTGGCTTGAACGGGCTGCGGGGCGGTGGACGTGAAGGTACACCATCCAGACCTCCCTTCAACGGACGGCTTGTCGCCCCGTCTGCTGGAAGTGCTGCCGGCAAATGACCCTCAGCTGTCAGCTGCTTCACGGATGGCCCCAGCAGTAGTTATCTCACCCAAAGTCACGCCCCTTCTGGGGCGAATCAGTGACAGATGCAGGCATAGAAAGTCGCAGGCATAGAAAGTCCCAGCCATCTTGGCCCAACCCGAGATGACTTGGATGGACCATTCTGGCTCTAGAGCTGCCTGTGCAGTGGGCCCAGACTGTCACTGGGCCTGCATCGTGGTTCGATTCCTCCCTCTGGCCCCCGCCTTTCTCGACCTCCATCCTGCACCCTAAACTCCATCTCAGAGTCAGCTTCCTGGGGGACAGCCTGTGGCAGCTGGCATTTGCTGGAAGAATGAGCCGTGTGGGGCGGCCACAAGAGGAGACCAACTCGGATGACATATGGAGCACCCCTGCTGAAAGGAGTGTCCCTGGTACTAAGAGTGGCAGATCGCCTACTGTTCTGGTGGCAGGCGCTCAGCAGAGCTCCTTTCACTCTTGGCAAGCGCATGAGAAGGGAAGTGAGAGCACCTGAGTGGAGGACAGGGCCCTGGTCGGATGCCAGGCTCTTATACTCGTTCCTGGAGAACTGGGCCACGAAGGCAGACTTTCAAAGCGTGACAGAGCTGGGAGGATCCAGGGGTCCACCAGGCTCCTCAAATATTTCTGCCCAAGTACCTCAAAAGAAAAGGAAGGTGAACTCAGACCCTGGTCCAGGAAGGCAGGTCGTGTTTACCCAGTGACATCAATGGGCCAGATGGGTGTGTGGCCCCCACTGGAGAAGCTCAGATCTAGAAGAGAAGTTCAAAGTCAAGGCCTGGAGCCCCAACTGGGGTCTGACTGAGGTCAGGACTCGGAATGAGGCTGGATCAGGGCTCAGTGTGGGGTCAGAGCTCAGTCCACGGTCAGGGTTCTGTTTGGGATCAGGGCTCAGTCTGGGTCCAGGGCTCAATGAGAGATCAGGATTGGAGCTCAGTCTGAGGTCAGGACTGTCTGGGGCTGCATCAGGGCTCAGCATGGAGTCAGGGCTCAGCGGATGGCCAGAGTCGAGTCATGATGTAGCTGTGGTAGGAGCCAGGACTTACTGTGAGGCCAAGGTTTAGGGCTCTTTCTAGCATCAGGGTCATGACCTGGTCTGGCCAATCACGGCTCTGAGTAACGACTCTATCTGGGCTCATGAGCACAAGCTGGAAACTCATCTGCGTTTCTGTGTGGGGCCTGCTCGGGCTTGGCCTCAGCCCAGCTTTGGGCTTGATCCTAGGCTGGGAGGCAGCCTGGCATCAGAGCTCAGCCCTGGAGCAAGCAGCTGCGTCAGCACGTGGTTCTACAGCAGGGTCAGCAAACCGCAGCCTGTGGGCCAAACCTGGCCAGCTGCCTGTTTTTATAAATAAAGTTTTATTGCAACACCACGCTCATTTGTTTACCCATTATCAGCTTTCATGCCATAAAAGCTGAGTTGAGTAGTTGGAACAGAGACTGTACAGCCTGCAAACCTGAAATATTTACTATGTGGTCCTCGACAGTGAAAGCTTGCCAATCCTTCTTCTAAAGGCTCAGAGGCCCCTCTGGCACGTGAAAGCCCAGATCGCTGAGGTAACTCCATGTCAAAAGCCTCTGTGAAGGTCACAGTGGTGTTTAAGAGACCAAGGGGACCCAAAGGAAGCAGGGCGAGGCCTGAGTCTGGGGGAGGGCCCTGTTGCCGGCATCCTTCTGGGTCCCCACAGCCAGCCAATTCTAAGGCTCTGCTCACTCCAGAACTACTGTTCTGCCCTTCCTCTGGGGACAGCATCGTTAGCGTGTTGCCAGACCCACTGAAAGGTAATTCTACTTGCACATTTTTCTTTGCAGCTTCCAAAGCCGCATTTCCATCCACCCTCTGCTTTGGGCTGTCTTCTCTCAGTGTCCCCGCTTCTCCCACCCCCAGTCAGGGTGCTCTCATTGGCTGTGGGGTGGCCTTTGCTCTCAGCATGGGCTGGAAGAAGCTTCGGGGTGAGTTTTGTCCCCGGGAAGCGCTGCCTCAGCTCAGCTGAGAGGCGCCAAGAGCGAGGGGGTTGAAGTGGAGACAGAGCTATGTGGCAGGTGGCCCTCATCACCTGCAGCTACGGTCCCTTCCTCAAACACACACACACTCTGGCAGACCATTCTGGCTCTGGAGCTGCCCACAGGGTGGGCCCAGGCTGCCACTGGACTTGTATCACGGTTCGATATCTCCCTCTTCCCCCTCCTGCTTCCTCCCCCTCCCTTCCATGGGTGTTGGTCCCCAGGTCATTCCTTCATAAGTGTCCTGTACCCGAAACCCCAGCTCAGAGTCAGTTCCTGGGGAGCTCAGCCTGAGACAGCTGAGCTGGAGGAAGACAGGCAGTTAGCATTTGCTGGAAGAATGAGGTGTCTGGGGCCACTGCAAGGGGAGACTGTGCTGTCTCCCTGCTGAAAGAAGCATCTTATTAAGAGGGGAGATGGCCTCCTGTTGTCTTCAGCCCCCAGGGCCCCCTCCAGGCTTGAAGTTGCTTGTCAACTCCGAGGAAATGGCTGCCTGCTCTGAACCTCCAGCTGCCCCCCTTATACGGGATCAGCATCCAAAACCTAGGTTTGGACAGGGGGTCCTGAAGGGCCTGACTCATTAAATGCATGCAGTCACCTGGGTTCTCCAGGCCGTCCCCACGCTGTGTAGAATCACCAGAGAAGTGCCTTCGCTGAGGCCTTGGTCACAAGGATCACCCATCAAACACTTGCTCACAAAGGCCCACTATATCAACTGTTCCCACTCCAGTCCGTACCCAGGAGGCGGCTCACAGCACTTGAGCCTGGTCTGTTCTTGTCCAGATGGCTCAAGTTATATGACTAGTCATAATGCCTGGGGCTCTCCAGAACGCTTCTGAGCTGATTTCCACGTCTGCTGCAGTTATCTTCATGGCTTGGTGGTCTCCACTCTGGTCTTCGTCCCAGAGGTCTCTGTCCTGTTTGATGCTGAGAACATGACTGCGTGTAGTGTAGCTGCAGGGGATGTTTTGCAAAGTCAACACTGTTCTGGTTGCAAAGAAGTCAATCAACACTGGGCTGGTCGTATAAGGTCCCTGATGACCATAACTAGACCAGATTTGGGACTGCATCCCTGAATGCAATCCAGTCTTGATGGCTCCTCCTCCATCTTCAGCTTCTTTCAGGCAGCAGGAGCCCCGCGGATGCTGAGGCTATGTCTTCATTGAGGGAAGATCGCCCATTGCTTCAAATCTAATGATTTTCCGGAACATGACTTTGGATAGAACTCAGACGGTGTAAACGGCAGGCACACGGGCCCCAGCTCTTCCTCCAGCTCGCCCACTGGCCTCGGGCAAGGCTCTTCCCTCTGTGTATGGGAGTGCTGAGGGAGGCTTAGGTATCAGCTCTAATACTTTGGGGTTCTCTCTCAGAGCCCGGGAGAAGGTTCCTGGGTCTGGATGTGGTCAGAGCATTGAAGAGCTGAGAGAGAAGCAAGGAGAGCCCAGGGGTCAGCCCAGGTGATGGTGAACTGGCGGGGCAGGAGGTGGCCGAGCCAGGTGGGCCAGGGTTAGTGTGATGGTCGGTCTGCCCGCCTCCCAGCCGTGAGGGTGACAGATGAAGGTGGTAGAGGCTCCCTACCTCATCCATCATTGTCCAAAGGTTTAAGGATTACTGAGTCTAACATCTCATTTTACAGATGGGGAAACTGAGGCCCAGGAAGGGAAGAGATGAGACCTGCCCAAGTTCACAAAGTGGGGCAGAAGCTGAAGCAGGACTAGAACCCAGGCCTTCTGGTTCCCACATGGGAGTGGCAAAGGGGTGGACAGGAGGGGAATGGGGGCCGTCTCCTTCCCTCTCAGCCCATCATGGCCTATCACTTGGCTTTGGCCACGTGGATGATCACAAAGCCCTTGATGTCTGGGAAATGGGGGCTGACGAGGTCCACCTGCAGCTGCCTTGGGCCACTCTTGGAGGGGGTGATGTTGAATCGGACCGAGGCCCTTTCCTGGGGCTCCAGGCTTGGCACACTGGTGAAAGGGGATGGAAGAAAGGCAGACCATTAGCCCTGGCTCCTTCCTGAGCCTGGCCTTCCAGTCCATGGCTCTCCAGAGCCCTTGGGATCAAGGTCACACCTTGAGGCTTGACATTCAAGCCTTGTCAATATGCTTCTAGCTTAATCTTCCTTCCACCACTACCCATTCTTTCCAACCAGCCAGGCTCATCTCCTCCCTGTTTCTTGAACACACCTCACACTTCCTCTCTCTGAGCTTTTGTCTGCACTGTTCCTCCCACCTGGGATGCCCTTCCCATTCCAATCACACCCAAAGCCCAGATCAAGTTTCTCTTCTTCCAGGATACCTTCCCTGACTACCAGCCATAGAGACCTCTGCCTGGGAAGACTTCCATTCTTCTTTATATCTGAAAAGCTTCTCGATTCATCATGTAAGGCCCAGATCAAATATCTACTCCACTGGGGTTTCTCCCTGGCCATACTCCACTCCCACTCAAGGGCTGCCTCTGATCCCCTGGACCTCATGGATCCATCCTTCTGTTTGCGCAAGTCACACTGTCCTCATTGGAAGGGCCATCTGTCTGTGAGAACCCTTCTGTTCATCTCGGTGTTCCTAACAGTTGACGTGTGGCTCAGAGCACAGGTCAGTGTGATCAAGGAACATATGAGGGAGGGAGTGAGTGAATGAATGAAAGGATGAATGAGTGAGTGAACAATTGAGAATGAGTAAGTAAATGAATGAGTGTGAATGAATGGAACATGTATGAATGAGTGAGTGGATGCATGAATGAATGAATAGCAAAATGAGTGAGCAAATGAAAGAATGAGTGAATGAGTCAAAACTGAGTTGACTAAGTGAATGAATGAATGAAAACATGAATAGTGAGTGAATGAACGAGTGAAAGAGCAAATGAATAAGAGAGTGAGTAAATCAATAAGTAAATGGGATCAATGAGTCAAAATATAAGTGAATGATATGAGTGGATGAATTATATGACTAAGTTAATGATTAAATAAACGAAGGAATGAAAAAAAGAATGAAGGCCGATATGTCTAGGCAGTGGGCTAGTTCCTGGGGGTCCAGAATCTCTCCCACACCCCCATGCCAACAGCTTCTCTATGGCCCATCTTATAAGGAAGGCAGCATCCCACCCCACCCAACCAGGCTGGCACTTACTCAATGCTGAGCTGTCCCCGGAGAAGGCCACTTCCTTCCACCATCAGCACACAGTCCTCCACTCTCTCCAAGAGAGGATTGACCACCATCACTTCTACCACCACTGCCATCCCAACCACGGCCGGGCCCAGCACCTGGAGGGGCAATACCCATAAGTCATCCCTCCTCCTCTCCCTTCCCCAAGGAAACCCATGGTCTTGGCTGGGTCAGAGGATAGGGCACCAATCATGTCTACCTCCTCCTTCGACATACCTCGTTACTCACCTTCCTCATCATACCCCTTCATCCACTCCACTCCTCCCCACCCTAGACAGCTGAAGCTGGAGGTAAAAGTACAAAATCCCCAGCTTCTGATGCCCTCCCCGAGCTCTGGAGGGGGCCTTCTAGGCACAGGGTGGTGGATGCAAACAGGAGTCACCTTGATGGTGATGAAATCCTCTAGAGTAATGTCCTTCTCCACCAGGAGCTTCTCTCCTTTGGTGACAAGGCACATAGCAGCCAACAGGATCTTCTTGTCCTCTGTCAGGTCTTCCTTATATTGAGAATAAGATATTGTGATTGGGATCTTTCTCTCTGGAAGGGAAAGCAGAGATGGGAATTGGGGGTTCTGATGGTTTTTTTCATCAATACCCAGAAGGAGCAAAGGAAGACTCAATTCATAATTATACCCTCTCCGGCCCTTGCAACCAACCTGAGACAGGCATCATTATCATCAGTTCACAGATGAAGAAACCTAAGGATCAGAGAAGGTAATTTCTTTCCTAATGTCACATAGCAAGTAAATCAAGGAGCCAAGATGAGGTGGGATTCAAATTAAGGCCAGTCAGCTACCATGACACCAGCTTGTATCTCCAAGACCTCCTGCAGATGTGTTTAAACTTTCTCTAGTCATTCCAGATGGAAATCTCTCAGTCCATCAACCATTCATCCCATCAGGAATTCACTCACTGTTTATTGGGCACCTACTATGTACTAGGTGCAGAGAATAGAGAGGCCAAAGGTTTGCCTCAAGCTCCCAATCCTGTGAAGATGTCAACTTCCTTGCAGCTTCTCCAAATCCTCCCTCCCTATTAAGGCCCAGTCCTAGTCAGCCCCATCAGCTGTGAAAAACCTTCACCAATACCCCTACCCAGTGAACTTGTGCCCTCTGCCTTCTGAGCTCCTGTGGTCCTGGCCATCTCTGTCTCTCTCTCTCACCAGCCACAAACACCCTACCTACGTGTTCTCTGCTTGTGAGCATGAGTCACCACAGGCCATATGTGACTGTCAGTCATATATATATATTTTTTCTTTTAGGTACAAGACGTCCTTTCCAGTTTGTCCAAGGGCCCACCATCTGTCACTGTTCTATTGCCCCTGCTTCTTTTATTTCTGTTTCGTTCCTTTCCCTGAAGGTGTCTGAGTTTTCAACCTGTGGAAAAGGTCCTTAAAGGGCTTGAACTTGGCTCACACTCGCTGTTCCCCAGAGCTTGCACACAGTAGATGCTTCTTGAATACTTGTAGGCTGATCCTTGTTCCGAAGTTCTACCTTGTTTTATGGGTTCCCTTAGTCCGGTAGGTCATTCCTGGGAGAAGACTTTCTACAATAATAGCAATAATTAATAATTATAAAAGCTAACTTTTACTGAGGAATTAAAACGTGATGGGTGCTTGGAAGCACATTCATCGGTTAACTCATTCAATCCTCACAACAATTGCATGAACAAGTATTATTATCCCCAACTTAGAGTAACATCAATAATACTGACAATCACTACCATAAATTAAATGTTCATCGAGTAGTAGGAATTATGCCGAATACTTTATGTATTTTTTATCATTTACTCCTTGCATGGTGTTGGACCAGTGGTTGGGAAAGTGTGGTCCTGGGACCAGCAGCATCCGTATCACCTGGAAACTTGTTAGAAATGCAAATTCTCAGGCTCAAGCATGAAGAACCATCAGATGCTGCCAATAATGCATGTGGCAGAGCTTTGGACATTAGACGATGGGAGAAGGGAGGAGAAAGACTGTCTCTTACAATGTTCAGACCAAAGCATCTTGAAGTCCTCTGGGTCATGGACTCTACTGATAGCTAATGAAAGCTGAGTCCCTTTCCCTAAACAGTGTTCTGAACAGCATCATCGAGCACTGGATGTAACTGATAACTGTACAATACTTTATCCAACAACAGCATCATACACATTCTTCTCAAGCTGACATGGGACGTTCACCAAGCTAGACCACATTCTGGGCCATGAATAACATTACCAAATTTAAAAGAAATCACACAGTGTATGCTCTCAAAGCACAGTGGAATTAAACTAGATATCAGTAACAGAAAGATAGTTGAAAAATCTTAAAATACGTGGAGATGAAACCACACACTTCTACATAACACACGAGCCAAAGAAGATATCTCAAAAGACGTTTAAAAATATTTTGAACTAAATGAAAATACAACTTTTAAAAACTTGTGGGATGCAGTGAAAGCAGTGCATAGAGGGAAATTTATAGCACTGAATGCACATATTAAAAAAGAAGAAAGATCTAAAATCAATAGTCTAAGCTTCCAGTTTAGGAAACTAGAAAAAGCAGTGCAATTAAATCCGAAGTAAGCAAAAGAAGAGAAATTAAAAAAAAAAAAATTAGAGCAAAATCAATGAGACTGAAAACAAGAGATCAAAAGAGAAAATTAATGAAACCAAAACTAGTTCTTTGAAACGGTCAATGAAATTGATAAGCCTCTAGCCAGGCTAAACAAGAAAAAAGGAGAGAACACACAAATTACTAATATGACAAATGAAAGAGAAGACATCACTACAGATCCTATAAAAACTAGAAGGATAATAATGAAATACTGTGAACAACTCTATGCCCACAAATTTGATAGCATAGATGAAATAGACTGATTCCTCAAAATAGACAATCTGCCAAAAGTCACAGAAGAAATAGACAATCTGAATAAGTCTATATCTATTAAATAAATTGAATCAATAATCCAATATATTGAATCCAATATAGAAAGTACCTGGCCCAGAGGAGTTCACTGGTGAATTCCACCAAACATTTAAGAAAGAAATGATAACAATTCTCTACAATCTCTTCCAGAAGAAGGAAGCAGAGAGAATACTTCCCAACTCATTCTATGAGGCCAGCATTAACTTAATACCAAAACTAGACAAAGATTTTACAGGAAAGGAAAACTACAGGCCAATATCTCTCATGACCATAGACATAAAAATCCTCAGCAAAATATTAGCAAATTGAACCCAACAATGTACAAAAAGGATTATATATCATGATCAAGTGGGATTTATTCTAGGTATGTACGGTTGGTTCAACATTCAAAACTCAACTAATGTAACCCATTCCATCAATAGGCTAAAGAAGAAAAATCACATGATCATATCAAAAGATACAAAAAAAGCACCTGAGAAAATCCAACATTTATTCATGATAAAAATATCTCAGAAAACTAGGAATAGAGGGGAACTTCCTCAACTTGATAAAGAGCATCTACAAAAAATGTACAGCTAACAACATACTTCATGGTGAGAAACTCAAAGCTTTCCCACTAAGATCAGGAACAAGGCAAGGATGGCTTCTCTTACCACTCCTTTTCAATATTGTACTGGAAGACCTGGCTAAGGCAATAAGACAAGAAAAGGAAATAAAAGGTATACAGAATGGGAAGGAATAAATAAAGCAGTCTTTGTTCACATATGATGTGATCATTTATATAGAAAATCTGAAAGAATCAACAACAAAAAATCCTGGAACTAATAAGTGATTACAGCAAGGTCACAGTATAAAAGATTAATATACAAAAGTCAATCACTTTCCTACATACCAGCAATGAACAAATGGAACTTGGAATTAAAAACACAATGCCATTTCTATTAGCACCCCCAAAATGAAATACTTAGGCATTAATCTAACAAAAGATGTACACGATCTATATGAGAAAAACTACAATACTCTGATGAAAGAAATCAAAGAAGAACTAAATAAATGGAGAGATATTCCATGTTCATGGGTAGGAAGACTCAAGATTACCAAGATGTCAGTTCTTCTTAACTTGACCTATATTCAAGACGATCTCATCAAAGTCCCAGAAAGTTATTTCATGGATACCGACGAATTGATTCTAAAGTTATGTAGAGACGTAAAAGACCCAGAACAGCCAATACAACATTGAAAGAGAAGAACAACATGAGAGGACTGAGACTACGTGACTTCAAGACTGACTATAAAGCTAAAGTAATCAAAACAGTGTGGTATTGGCGAAAGAATAGGTAAATACATCAACAGAACAGAATAGAGAGCCCAGAAATACACCCACACAAACATAGTCATCTGATCTTTGACAAAGGAGCAAAGGAAATAAAATGATGAAAAGATAGTCTTTTCAATAAATGGTGCTGGAATAACTGGACATCCAAATGCAAGTAAATAAAAAAAACCCCAAATAAATGAATACAGACACAAAAATGAACTCAAAATAGATTATAAGCCTAAACGTAAAATGCAAAACTATAAAACTCCTATAAGATAAAATAGGAGAAAATCTAGATGATCTTAGGTATGGTGATGACTTTTTAGATACAACATCAAAGGCACAATCCATGAAAAAATTGACAAGTTGGACTTCATTAAAATTAAAAACTTCTGCTCTGTGAAAGACACTATCAAGAGATTAAGAAGACAAGCCACAGACTGGGAGAAAATATTTGCAAAAGACCTATTTGATAAAGGACTTATCCAAAATATACAAAGAACTCTTAAAACTCAACAATAAGAAAATGAATAACATGACTGAAAAATGGGCAAAAGATCTGAACAGACACCTCACCAAAAAGGATACACAGATGCATATAAAAAGATGCTCAGCATCACACATCATTAAGGAACTGCAAATTAAAACAATGAGATACTACCATATACCTTTTAGAATAGCAAAAATCCAAAATACTGACAACACCAAGTGTTGGAGAGGATGTGGAGCGACAGGAACTCTCATTCGCTGCTGGTGGGAATGCCAAATGGTACGGCCACTTTGGAAGGCTGTTTGGCAGTTTCCTAGAAAACTAAACATTCTCTTATACCCATCTAGTAATCACACTCCTTGGTATTTACCCAAATGAGTTGAAAACTGTCCACATGAGAACCTGCACACCGAGCTTTATTGCAACTCTATCCATAATTGCCAAAACTTGGAAGCAGCCAAGATGTCCCTCAGTAGGTGAACAGATAGATAAGCTGTGGTACATCCATACTCTGGAGTATTATTCAGCACTACAAAGAAATGAGCTATCAAGCCACAAAAAAACCATGGAGGAATCTGCAGTACATAGTTCTAAGTGAAAGAAGCCAATTTGAAAAGGCTACATACTATATGATTCCCAGTATAAGACATTCTCAAAAAGGCAAAACTATGGAGACAATAAAAAGATCTGTGGTTGCCAGGGGTTCGAGGGGAGGGAGAGAGCAGCAAACAGATGAAAATCAGGAGGTTTTAGGGCAATGAAATTATTCTGTATGATACTCCAATGGTGGATACACGCCATACATTTGTTAAAACCCATACAATGCACAATAGAGTGAACCCTAATGTAAACTATGGACTTTAGTTAAAAATAATGTATCAATATTAGCTTGTCATTGGTAACAAAGGTACCACACTAACCCAACATGCTAATAGTAGGGAAGATAGAAAGTGGTGAGGGGGTACATGGGAACTCTGTCCTTTTCACTGAATTTTTCTGTAAACCTAAAACGGCTAAAAAAAAAGTCAATTAAAATGATAAATTTTAATAAATTATATATTTTAATAGTCATACCATTTGGCTCAGTAATTCCACTTTCGTGAATCTATTCTAACAAAACAGTCCAAAATCCAGACAAAGAAAGATCTTTTTCACCAAGATGTTTACTTTAGGTTTTTTAAAAAATAGCAATAAGCTGATAACTACCCCAAAGAAGGAAAAAGATATAAATCATCATATATTTATTTAAAGATTACGCATCTATTAAAATGATGTTACTGAAGAGCTTATAAAAATGTTTAACTTACAACGTAAAATGAAAAGATCAGGGCACTACTGAGTATTTGCAATATAATTAGAACCATGTTTTTTCAAAAAGCAAACAAGCATTCAAAATTTGGAAGAAAAATGTTAGTTTGAGGAAGGGTGGCAGGATCAAAGGTGACAGTTCTCTTGTGCTCTCTAAATCTTTAATGAATATGTATTACTTTCAATATGAAAATAATTGCTAAAAGCCAGGAGAAAGTGCATGTTAATTAATATTTCATTAGGAAGTGTTATTTTGTGATTTCGATTTTGTGAAAACTAAATGCCATCTCCTTCACGTGTTTTCACCCCTGTCAAGATGCACAAGCTTCACTTGCCAGAAACCGGCCCAGAGGAACAATTTCTTTGTTTAATTGAATCCTTAGAGTTCAGAAGGGAGGTATGTGAAGACAGAACCAGCCAGACAGAGAGGAGCTGGAGGGGAGGGGATAGAGAGAGAGAAAGAGAGAGAGGGAGGGAGACGGAGAACAGGAAAAGGAGGAAGAACGATCTAATGGGTACATTTAGTAAATCATATACGAAGTGCTACATGTTTAAGGATCATGAAAAAAGTCCTTGACACTTTTTTTAAAAAGCAGTTGGAATAAAGTCACTTAAAATTATACAAAAACCTTCAAAAGGACCGAAGCCATCCTATTTTGGTGCAAAATCCTAAGGGTGCATTTCAGGCACCATTAGGCACATGAAGCAGAATTGCTGTGTGCTGACCCCACAGACCACTCGAAGGCCGGCAATCACGCAGCTGAACCCGCTGAGTCAGTGTGCCCGGGGGGGACCATTCCTGGCTTTGAGCCCTGGCTCTGCCCCTCCCTGCCGTGGCCCTTGGTCAGGAGTGTCTCTACGGCCAGACTGGTTTGAATCCTGCCAGCACACACGCTGACCGTGTGACTGTTTCCTTCTCTGAGAAACTGAGCTGGTGTTCCCCAAAAGGTGGCTGCAGGGATGGTGGCCGATGTGTGTGGAATCCTCAGGTCAGGGCCTGGCACGTGTAAGTACTGAGTAGACATCTCTTACTGGTCCACCCCTCCAGACAGAAAATCTGGAGCCAGATGGACTCCAGAATATTTTGGATTTTAGACAGGTAACACCAGGCTCATACATTAGGAAAAGCTCCCAGCAGGTGTTTATTTGGCATGGAAACATTCATACTAATTGGGATAAATAGAGCTATGAATCACCTCACCATGAGGTCAGCTTGCCACCTGATGATTGTGGACTTTTACTACTTTTCTCCTTATTTAGCCCCTCTCAGCCTCATTTTTCTCATCTGTAAAGTGGGCACAGGAGGCAAGACAGTGAGCAAATGCTCAGAAATACCCCCTTCTTTCCTGGGAATGAATGTAGGATTCCTGGCAGTCTGGCCCTGCCCTGCCCCAACCCTCCTGGAAAGGGGGATGGGCTGGCCAGGTCCCACCAAACCTTGCGTTCTTACCTTCTTCCGGCCCCAGCCGCACCTTGTGGGATTCGTGCAGGATCTCTGCCACTGGCCTGCGGGTGTAGAGGATGGTGGCACCACTCAGGTTGACTTGGACCTGCTGGGTCTGGGAGGTGAGGTTGGCCAGGCACAGGGCCAGCCTCAGATCGTGGCCCAACTTGGGGGGCTCCAGCACCTTGAACTTGCCGGTGATGCTGGGCTTGGCAGCGGGCTGCAGGAGGTCATCACGCCAGAGACCTCGGCCGCTGGCCCTGCGGACTCGGGCCCTCCTCCCAGAGGCTTCCACGCTGAAAAGCTTCTTCACGGCCCTCCTGTACACCTGCCTCTCCTTCCGGGACCCTGCAGGGCATGGCGCACCGTGAAGCAGACACCCTCTTCCTCCTCCGCCTGTCCCGGGGCCCATCTCTTCTCATTTCCCCTCTTCTCTGGGCAAAATCACCACTCCTTTGCCACTGTAATTTACCACGGCTCTCGGGGGTCTCCAGTTGGCAGCCCAAAAGCCACATGCAGACCTCAGCCACATGCACTGTCTTTGGTTCTGGGACTATTCAAATAAATTTTCAATCAGTTGCCAACAACCTCACATCAGGAGATTTCACATAACAATACAGATTTGCAGCTTCTCTGACAACTGGGTCTGAAGTCATGTGATAATAATGGCTGATACTTTGGTAGACTTACTATGTGCCAGGCACCTTAGTTCCAGGTGCTGTACTTTTCCCTCTACGAGGTAGGTACCATTTTATAGATAAGGCACCTAAGGCACAGACAAGTAAAGCAGCTTGTGAGGGAACAGGAATTTGAACCCACGCAGTTCAAAATTCCATGCTCTTAATCACACGCCCTTCCCACTCTCTTCCCACATGGTGGTAAGGTCTAGAGCTGAGCAAGGGCTGCTCTCTCTGGAAGGAATGCACTGTCTGGTTCTGCACAGTCTCCACCCTGTAATTGCCACTGGCCTGCTGCACTCAGGTGGGGCCACCTGCAAGCCTCCTGCAGAGGTGTGAGTTTAGGACCCCTGATCTCCCACTTGCCCTGTTGTAGCTCAGACTTCTCTTTTGACCTCCAGACCAATACGTGCAATTGGACAGCTCCCTCACCCCACCTGATGTCCCACAGCTGCCTCAAATCCAACCAAACACGCCATCTTCTGCCCAGCAGCGTCCCCCATCTCAGCAAACGGCTCCACTACCATTCACCCAATGTCCAAGCCAGAAACTGGGAGCGTCCTTGACTCTTCCCAAACCCTCACCAGCCATAACTGATCTGTCAGCAAGTCCTGCCGAGCATCCTCATTGATCTCTACAACCTGCCCTCTTCTCCATTCTCTCTTCTCCCATCAGACCACCGCTGAAATCGCCTCACCATCAGGTCCGTTTGCCACCAGGTATTGTGGAGTTTATTACTATTATCATTACTTAGCTGCCCCCACGAGCCTCAGTTTTTCCATCTGTAAAGTGGGGACAAGAGGCTCCCAGGTAAGGCACTGAGCACAATGCTCAAGAATGTCCTCTCCCTTCCTGGGAATGCAGGTGCCATCTCCACTCCAGTCGTTTTTCCACCCTGATATCTCCAAACCCAACTTTGATGGTTCCACTTCCCCACTTGAAACCTGTGGTGTGCGGTCTCCCACACTACTCCTTCCCAAACATTTTCCTCGAAGTACTTCAATTCTGTGTGACCGTGGCTTGAAGGGGCCCATGTGGACCTAAAGATTCTTTAACATCCCATGTGTGTGGTCTTTTGTGACTGGCTTTTTTCACTTAACATATGTTTTCAAGATTTACCCGTGTTGTAACATAAGTCAGCACTCGATTCCTTTTTATTGCTGAATAATATTCCTTTGTATGGATACACCACATTTTATTTATCCTTTGATGGACATTTGGGTTGTTTCCACTCTTTTGCTATTTTGAGTAATGTTGCTATGAATGTTCATGTACAAGTTTTTATGTGGATGTTTGCTGTCCCTTCTCTTGGGTATAAACCTAGAGTGCATCTGCTGAGTTATAGGTAACTCTGTGTTTAGCCTTTTGAGGAACCGTCAAACTGTTTTCGAAGGTGGCTGCACCATTATATATTTCCACCAGCAATGTCTGAGTCTTCCAGTTTCTCCACAGCCTCACCAACACTTATTGTCTGTTTGTTGATTATAGCAGTCCTAGTGGGTGTGAAGAGGTATGTCCTTGTGGTTTTGATTTGCATTTCCCTAATGACTAATGCTGTTAAAGCATCTTTTCATGTATTTATTTGCCACTTATTCCTAAGTATTTTATTCTTTTTGATGCTATTGTAAATGGATTTGTTTTCTTAATTTCGTTTTCAGATTACACATTGTTAGTGTCCAGAAATACAATTCATTTTTATAAATCGATTTTGTGTTCTACCATCTTGTTGAACTGGTTTATTGGTTCTAATAGCTTTTTAGTGGATTCCTTAGGATTTTATATATACGTGTCATGTGCAAATAGAGATGGTTTTACTTCTAATCTTTTCCAATTTGGAAATTCCTCTATTTCTTTCCCTTCTTTCCTTCCATTCCTTTCCTTTCCTTCTTTTAATTTTCTTAAATTTTGGCAAAATATACATAACATAAAATTTACTGTCTTAACCATTTTTAAGTGTATACTTCAGTGGCATTAAGTACATTTCTATCGCTGTGCAGCCATCACCAGCATCCGTCTCTAGAACTCCTTTCATCTTGCAAAACTGAAACTGTACCCACTAAACAGTAACTCCCCGTTGCCTCCTCCGCCCAGCCCCTGGGAACTACCATTCCACTTTCTGTCTATGAATTTGACTACTCGAGGTGCCTCGTGCAAGAGGAATCAGACTGCATTCGTCTTTTTGTGACTGGCTTATTTCACTTAGGATCATGTCTTCAAAGTTCATCCATGTTGAGCATGTGTCAGAACTTCCTTCCTTTTTAAGGCTGAATAATATTCCATTGTATGTGTATACCTCCACTGTATGTATATACCACATTTTGTTTATCTATTCATCCATCAATAGACATTAGGGTTGCTTCCACCTTTTGCATGCTGTGAATAATGTTGCTATGAACACGGGTGTAAGATCTCTTTGAGTTGCTGCTTTCAATTCTTTTGGGTATATATCCAAAGTTGGAATTGCTGGATTAAAAGATAATTTTATTTTTAATATTATGAAGAACTTCCATCCTGTTTTCCACAGTGCCTGTACCATTTTAAATTCCTATCAACAGTGCACAGGTGGTCCTAATTTCCCCACATCCTCACTAACACTTATTCTTTTCCTTTCTTTCTTTCTTCTTCTTCTTCTTCTTCTTTTTTTTTTTGCTGAGGAAGATTCACCCCGAGTTAACATCTGTTGCCAATCTTCCTCTATTTTGTATGTGAGCTGCCACCATAGCATGACCACTGATAGACAAGTGGTGTAGGTCCACGCCTGGGAACTAAATCCGGGCCACCAAAGTGGAACACGCTGAACTTAACCACTAGGCCACTGGTACTGGCCCCTCTTTTTTTTTAATTTCTGATAGTAGCTATCCTAATGGATATGAGGTGGAATCTCATTGTGGTTTTGATTTTCATTTCCCTAATAATCAGTGATGTGAGCATCTTTTCATGTGCTTTTTGGCCATTTGTGTACCTTCTCTGAAGAAACGTCTATTCAAGTCCTCTGCTCATTGTTTTCAGGTTGTTCGTTTTTTTGCTGTTGAGTGTCTGGAGTTCTCTATATAGTCTGGATATTAACCTCTTATCAGATATGTGATTTGAAAATATTTCCTCCTATTCTATCGGTCGCCTTTTTACCTTGTTGGCAGTGTCACAAAAGTTTTAAATTTTGATGAAGTCCAATTTGTCTGTTTTTTCTTTTTTGCCTGTGCCTTTGCTGTCATAGCCAAGAAATCATTGCCAAGTCCAATGTCATGAAGCTTTTTTCCTACTTTTACTTTTGAGAATTTTATCGTGTTAGGTCTTACAGTTAGGCCTTTGACCCATTTTGAGTTAATTTTTCAATATGGTATAAGGTAAGGGTCCACCTTCATCCTTTCACATGTGAATATCCCGTTTTCCCAGCACCATTGGTTGAAAACATCTCTATTTCTTTTTTTTGCCTAATTTCCTTGGCCGGTACTTCCATGACAACGTTGAGTCAAAGCAGCAGGAGTGGACAGCCTTGGCTTGTTTCTGATCTGAGGGGGAAAGCGCGCAATCTTTCACCATTAAACATGGTGTGAGCTGTGGGTTTTTCACAGATGACTTTTATCAGGCAGAAAAAGTTCACCTCTGTTCTTAATTTGTTGAGTTGGACATTGCCTACCACCATGCTAACAAATTTTAGATGCTATTACTAGTATTATCATTATAAGCTGGATGTGAAATCACGTGACCCACAACAAGCAGCCAACCAGCAGTAATAATATTATAACTAGATAGTGGCAGCAAAGGACAGAATGAAGAGCGTGGGCTCTGGAGCCAGACTCGCCACTCTCTAGCTCTGTCCCTCGACTGAATCGGCTTCCCTGGCTGCACCTCCGTTCTCTCCTCTGTAGAATGAATGCTACACCAGTGTCTGCCTTTGTTAGCATTTGTTAAACAAAAGAACTAAATGATGCGTGAAACTGGCCAGCCCACAGTAGATGCCCAGTGATGGTGACTGCTATGATCATCATGTAACAGGATGTTGTTTCTCTTGCCACCATGACAAAAAACCCTAAAGACCCCATGTTCTAAGTTTCAGAAGCTCCCCGCAGGTGGGACCGGGCATCAACCTATAGGACTTGTGAGAGAGACGCCAGCTCAGAAGAGGCCTTAACACCTACCATCCCATCCACTGCCCTCTGTAAGAAGAGGCCTGAAGGGGAGGAGGTCATCAACAATCAGGGAAGCGCCATGTTCCTAGAGAAGGAACTGAGGGAGTGTTGATGAAGGGTGTGTGTGTGTTTACAGTAATCACTGTTAAAGTTTGGGAGTGTCTGCAATGAGGAAGAGCTGTCTGGTAAAGACTGGGGCTGCCTACAGGTCCGCTAGCCTGTCTTGCTTACTGAGCCGTGTATTACCTGAGCAGGGAGAAGAGAACTGACGGGAGATGGCAGGTGGAAGACAGCCCATCAAGACTGCTCTCCCCCCAGCCTTTGAACTGGGGCACTGAGTATAGATGAGCGTGGGGGCCACAGCCTTGTCAAACCCCTGCAGAACCTGGGGCCCAAAACTGCCACGCACCAGAGGGAAGCTGTGTGACTGCCAGTGAAAGAATGGGGCAAATGTCTCAAGAAACCAGCAGTGCCTGGGGGAGCAGCACAGGAGAGGGTCCTGAGGGCAGCAGGCTGTATTGGAGCCACCATCTGTCCTTGCGGAGCGTGAGAGTAAACTAGGGCAGCAGCACTGCCTGCCCGAGGGCACGGAATCCTCGCTCAGTGAAGTCAAATCATTGGCTCTCTTTCCTCCTCCTCCTCCTCGGCCTAACACACCAGAAGACTTAGACCCGCCTTCTCAACATCGGCTGCACGTTGGAATTGCCTGGGAAGCTTTTAAAAGTCCTGATGCCCAGGTCACTCTCTCTAGGGAGTTAGGGGGCAGTCTGGGCTGCTAGGGTAGATTAACAATGGCCATAATACTCTCTTTACGACTTCTCCCATCAAGAGGTGGAGTCTACTTCCTGCTCCTTGAATCTGAGGTGGCCTCAGAAGTTGCTTTGACGGATATAATGTGGCAGAAGTGACATGGTGTGAATTCTGAGCGAGGCCTCCAGTGACCTTGCAGCTTCAACTCTCAGCCTCTCAGAATGCTGCTGCCACGTGGACAAGCCAGGGCTGGAACACGAGAGGCCAAGTGGGGAGAGGGGCCCAGCCAGCCCAGCAGCCCCATGGGAGGCCCCAGACATATTCCAGATCCCAGCCGACACCACGAGCAGCAGAGGAACCATCCCAGCTGATCACAGCCCGAATTGCTGACCCACAGGATCCCGAGCAAATAAATAATTGTTACTTAATCTATGTAACTAAAAGAGCACCCCAGGCGGTTCCAGTGTGCAACCTGGCTGCAAAGCACTGTGCCATAAAGCAGACGATAGACAGATGGGGGCATCCAGAGCAGACCGTGCCCCTCTTTACAGCAAACTTCCAAGGTCGCGGGCTTGTGCTCAGGTGAGGGGAGGAGACAAGCTCTGATTCATGTTTGAACTTGAAGTCCTCATGACTCAAATAACAGTGTTTTAACAAGCAGATGTGGCTGAAAACATATGGATCAGGTCATGGCATTGCCAAGGGACCAGTTATTCCTCGGGGAAGGGCGACTTTTAAAGCCTGTAGCTGGAGGTAGCTACTAGAAAAAAACACACCTGTTTTGTTTTTGTACCCAAACAAGTACAAGCTCTTCAACAAACCAGTGACCATCAATTAGTGACCACGGCATAGTCAGCACTGACAGGTGACAAACAAGAGCTGCCATTATTATTGTTTTGTACTGTGCCTAGCGGTATGTATTCTAGATGTTCAGTAAATGATACTGCTACTATCATCACTATTATTAGTGGTAGCTATTATTATCATCTGTGAACACACCTAGCACAGTGCCTGGCACATGGTAAGTGTTAAGGAAATGTAGCTATTATTATGGGGAAACCTTCTCCTCAGCAAACAGGGGAAGGCATTCACATAAGCCAAAGGCACTTGGCGCAAGCAGAGACAGCGCTGAAGGAAGCTGCCATCATCACGACCCGTGGGAGAGGGCCTGGCTCTGGTGGCCGCCGCTGCCCCTCTGCAGCTGACTGGTCCCGTGGGGAGGCTGGCAGAGGCCGCCGATGGCCCTTACCTTCCGGATACTTGTAGAGGCCCGTGATGTCCACGCGGGAGTCGCTGCCCACCGCCTTGGTGGAGATGCACCTCCCGATCTTCTTCGTGTCCGAGTACACGCGCTCCCGGCTCTCATCCTCATTCCAGAGCCAGGTGATGTAGTCCGCGTTGACCTCCGAAAACACAAAGGGGCCGTCGTGGGCCAGGTGCACGTCGCCCTCGCGGATGGCGGCGACCGAGGCGGGGCCGCAGCGGAACACGCCTGGGCGGGGAGGGTGGGCGTGAGCAGCGAGGGCGAGGAGAAGCGGGGGCCTGGGAACCCCCCGGCCGGCCCGTACCTTCGCTCTCCTCCTGCGGGGTGGCGTCCAGAACCTGCCAGCCGCTGTAAAAGGGGCCCAGGTCCTGCCGGGCAAACCAGCTCTCGTTCCAGACATGGAAATTCCTGCCACAGAGAGAGGATGGGGCAGGTGGCCCATGGTGAGCACACAGGCCCACGGGTGGGGAAGTTCCTGCCATCAGCCAGGCCCTGGCGGTGCTCCGGGGCCGAATCTTGTGAACCGTTCATTCAACGCTATCGATGAGCAGATGTTGTTCACATATGTGTGTGTGTATATATATCAAGAACCCACTGTTCAAAGCACCAGAAATACAGCTGCAAATAAGACGGGAGAGCCTTGCCCTCATGCAGCTGACATTCTAACAAAGGCGACAGATGGGAAGACAGGCAAATTTAAGTAAGGAGATAAAAAAAAAATGCAATATAAGTGCTGTGAAGAAAGAGAGGGTCTTGAGACAGAGAAAAGCTGCTGGAGACCTACTCTAGGTAAATGACATCTAAGATGAGACTTAAAGGAGAAAGAATTAGCCATAGGAAGAGTGAAGGGAACAGTGTTCCAGGCAGAAGGAACAGCATGCACAAAGGCTCTTGAGACAAGAAAAAGCTTAGTGTGTTGGAGGAACAGAAAGTCTGTAAGTATCTCTGGGCTACAGCAAGCATAGAGAGTTGCTAGGGTTCAGAGTTTGCAGAATTTTGCAGGCCTTGGTAAGGAGTTTGGGCTTCATTTGAAGTTTCCTATGTTAAAGATGAGAATATGAGATTAGGAAAAGTGACATCATTTGCACAAGGCCACACAGTAAGGAAGCAGCAGAGGAACCCTGGTTTGCCTGACGTGGCATCTTTTCAGCCGGCCTCAGAACTCCTCCTAGGCAGGTCATGGTCTTTGGGAAAATATCTTGATAAGCATCTGGGGGTTAAAGGGAGGACACTGATAACCTGCATGGTGACGGAGGTCCCAGTGTCAGAAAGAAGTGTCTGTCCATTCTGCTGGAGGAAGGAGAAGGATGTGATATTTTTGGTGCTCCTGCAGGGAGGGGGAGTAAAGAGAACCAAAAAGCAGAGAAGGAAAAGGGAGAAGAGAGAAGAGAGGCAGAGCCATGGTCTGAGGCTGGAGACCAGCTCGGGGAAGGGCTGCTGGTTGTCCTCCCCTGGGGGTGGCTGAGGACATTCTCAGGACAGGGACGCTGAGGCTGTGTTTCTGTAGTGCATGCTCTTCAGAAAGCTGGCTTTGCGTGACAACTTGCCATGTATGAACAGACACTCGGATGAGGTTATTCCCTGAAACCTTGCTTGTAAAGATAAATGTCTGGTCCATCCATGTGAGATGGTTAGATCAACGATGGTTTTCCCATGCAATTGAAAGGCAGACCACTCACTAGCTGTATGGCCTTAGACGAGTTACCTAACCTCTCTGTGCCTCAATTTCCTCATCGGCAAAATAGAGATAATAATACTAACTTGCTCACAAGGTTTCTTTCATATAAGTTAATATACGTACAGCACTTAGAGCTGGGCCTGGCACAGACTAGGTGCTCAGTATTCTTATTTCTTTAAACACTAAAAAATAAAGAAACCTTGTACTGATGTACTGATATGAAGTTGTTAAACGTATGAGCAAGATGAACAGGTTTACATTATGCTGCCAAGAGTCAGTGGATAAAAAGTAGGGGTGCGAGGGGATGATGTATGTGCATGTTCTTGTATCTGCAGAGTCTCTCTGACAGGAGGTGTAAGGAACTAGGCCTTCTGTTGCCCCTGGGAGGAGGACGAGGCTGGAATGGGGTGCGAGGGAAACTAACCACTGTAACTCATTTTGTACCTTTTGAATATTACTGCACATGAGTGTATTTCCTATTTTAAAAAATTAAAATTAATTAATTAATTTTTTTTTTTTTTGCTGAGGAAGATTTGCTCTGAGCTAACATCTGTGCTAGTCTCCCTCTATTTTGTATGTGGGTCTCTGCCACAGCATGGCCGCTGATGAGTAGTGTAGGTCTGTGCTGAGGAACCAAACCTGGGCTGCCAAAGTGGAGCGTGCTGAACTGAACCACTAGGCTATGGGGCTGGCCCCCTAAAATAAATTTTTAAGGCTTTGCGTGAAGAGTTTTGTTTGAGCTGAGAAAGGAGGTTGTTTCCCACTTGGACACACAGCAGGGTGCACAGATGGCTGATAGATAAGCAGGAGCATGATACAGAGGTAGCTATGTGGGGCGGTCTTGGTGCCCCTCCCAGTCATGGGAATCTTGGGGAGGGCTCAGAGTCCCCCAGAGGGGAGAACTGGGGGTTCACGGCACTCAAATCTTGAGTCCCCCTCATGACCTCTGAGTGACGTGCCCAAAGACCCATCATCTCAGAAGAGGAGTCACCCTGCCCAGGGCCAAACTGCTCTGCAGGGCGCCTCTCACTCCTTCCAGAACTGACTCAGACTCTGGAGAGCATGGCTCCAGGTCTGGGTCTGCTTTGGGGAGCCCCTAGGACCCTAGGACCCACCACATGCTGTCCTCTGTCAGGTACTCCAGGGTCCGCCCGAAGGAGTCCACGTATTTGTCCACACTCAGGCTTCTGTCCGTGTCATGGGCCGAGTTAAAGTTGGACACAACCCGTGTTGCGATCCCCAAGCACCTAAGGACTGAAGAGCAGGAGGCTCCTGAGGCTCTCGGAGCAGGCAGGGCCCCTGGACTAGGGGGGTGGTGCTATGTAAATATATGCAAATAGATGCAAATGAGGGGACCCTGGGGTTGGGTGGGGTGGGGTTGGGGTCTTCTTTTCCTGGGTACCTGTGCACATGACTCCAGCGAAGACCCAGCACTGGCCGTATTTGACTGGCTTGAACCTGCCCTTGAACCACTGCTGCAGGATGGCCACGCTGCCGCGCCAGTGCAGGGGGCTGGTGCCGCCGCCGTACTTGCGCTGCCACTGGCCCTGGACCACGCCGCGGTCGTTGTTGCTGTTCACCTGGCGGAGAAGGCCGCGGTCCACCACCAGGCGGGGCTTCCCTCTTCAGGAACCTCGCCTCCAAGAAAATCGTCTCCAATTGTGGACCACCCAGTCCCTGGGGGCTAGCTTTTGCTTTTAAATGGTCTGAAAATTGGGGCCATCTGCCCTCTTCAAATACCTGCTTTTTGGTACCACTTCTCATTTCAAATTACCTTCCCTGGGGATAGTCAACTGTTGAAAATCATCTGTGGTTTCGGAGCATTTCCTGTTTTAAATGACCTGTTTTGGGGACCGTTGGTGGTATAACAGCTATAGAGACAGTGAACATTTCTTAAATGCTTCTCGCGCCAGGCACTGTTCTAAGGGCTTTGTGTGCACTACATTAACCCGTTTAAAGTGGGTTCTATTATTTTCCTTTTTTTCTCAGATAAGAAAATGAGATTCAGTTTTGCCCAAATCGCAGACCAAGTCAGCAAAAGGTGTGGGCGACCCCCAAGTTCAGAACTTTGACTTGGGCGCCTGTACGGCTGTCCCCCAGGCTGTATCACTCTACAGTTTGGAAACGGTCACCACTTTGGATTCTCTTTACTCCAGCATCTCTCTGAGGTCTTAAGGAATGGAGAGTATCAAAGAAAAGCAGTTGTGTCCATTTTTGGAATCACAGATAGCCACCCACTAATCTTGACACCTTCTTGCTCTAGCGAGAGCTCGTAGACCCTCTGGCTACCTTTTGAGGCGGAAGCCCCAAGGCGTATAATAGATTAAAGCTGGCTCTCCTCTCATGGAGAGGTGGGTCTGTGTACCCTCTCCCTGAATCTGGGCTGGCTGGTGACTGCTTTGACCAATGACTATGGTGGAAATGGTGCTGAGCTGGTTTCCAGGCCCAGGCTGTATGAGACTGGCAGCTTCCATTTGCTCTTTCTGGATTGATTGCTTGGGGAAGAGCCAGCTGCCATCTCTGATGACCCTGACACTGCCATGCTGTGAGGAAGCCCAAGCTAGCCATGTGGAAAGGCGCATGGAGAGACAGAGTGATGACCGGCCAGCCCCAGCTGTTCCAACCATCCCAGCCAAGGGGCCAGACATGAGAATGAGCACACCATCTTGACATTCCAGCTCCAGCAGCCATGGCATGGGAGAGAACCAAGGAGGCATTGACTACCAGGACCAAGGCCCCAGATAGATGGTCCCGTCAAACCATCCCAGACATCTGCAGCCACTCAGACACCCCCAGCTGAAGCATTTTGGAGCAGAGACAAGGCATCCTCACGGTGCCCTGCCCAGGTCCTTGATCTGCAAAATTGTAAGCGTAATAAATGGCTGTTTCACACCACTGAGTTTTGGGATGTTTGTTATGCAGAAATAGAGAATTGAAACAACAGGGAACTAGGGAAAAATCGGAGGGCATGGCCCTGGGATTGGCCTGGGGATGCGTGAGGGAGTGTGTATGCAGGAATGGTGGGGCTCCTCACCATGGCGCTGATGGCCCTGGTCACATAGATGGGGTCGTGGCGGTGGGACACGTCCGTGGCTGGGTCATCTTGGTGACTGGGGCTTCGGTCCAGGATGGAGAGGCAGATGTTCAGGATGTCCTCCTCGAACTGTCCCAGAGAGGCTGTGCTTAAGGGCCAGAGCCTCACCCATATTCCAGACACTCCCACTACCCCTACCCGGTCAGTCACTTGTGTCATGCAAGGGGAGTTTGCCTGCACCTGTCCCCCTGTCAGGGACGCCACAGACGACCCCCAAGTCTCAGAAACCCTTCCCCAAAGAGTCACCCGGGAAACAGAAATGTCCCTCCTCTGTTCAGTAGCCCCCCATGGCTCCCCACTTACCAGTAAAGATCGTGGAAAACGGGTGGCTCTGGAGCCACACCTAACCCACTGTACACTTGTTGGGATTATGTGATTTTTTAAAAATACATTTGAATCAATCGACAACATTTAAAAACTGGGGGATTTTTACATACAAGTGAAGATTTCTGGTATCCACAAATTTGAAAGGTCTGGGAACCACATGGCAGCAAGAGGCGGGTGCTGAGGAGTGGTTCCCCCTTGGATGGACCCTACACTCTCTGGTATGTCATCCCTGCCCAGCCCCGGAGCCCCAAATGCTTTCCGCCCCCAGCTTCCCAGCCTGACAGTCCAGGTCCTTAACTTGCCTGGCCACCCTTCTTCTGTTGGGGACTCGGAACCCAGGCACACAGAAGTCCTCCAGCAGAACCTCGGCTACTCCCTGACTCCTCACCTCCGCGCTGCTCTGTCTGCTCTTCCCTCTGACTGTCCAGATCCCGCCCGACTTTGGACACCCAGCCTCAGTATCACGAAGGTTTCCTCAATCCCCAAGATGGAGTTTTCATTCACTCTTTTCTGAACTCCCTTTGCTGCCGTCTCTACCACTCTGACTTTCCTCCTCCCATTACACCTTGTGTTGTAACTATTTATCTAAGCTGTTGGCTCTCACACTGTGGTCTGTGGACCAGCAGCATCAGCATCACCTGGGAGCTTGTTAGAAATGCAGATTCTCAGGTGCCACCCCAGACCCGCTGAATCAGCAACTCTGGGGGTGGGGTCCAGCCATTGGTGTTTTTACGAGCTTTCCACGTGATTCCTGTTCACATCCAAGATTGAGAACCTCTGATGGAAGGGATTTATCCTTTCACAACAGAACCAACCTGTTCTGTTTCCCATCTAAAGCGCCTCCCTCCCGAGGACCCAGCGAGGCCCTGGTACAGCTAACAGGAGGTGAGTGAATGAAGGGATTTGCTCTAAGAGTCAGCCCAGCTGGTCCCTCCTGGCAAGAAGTGAGCAGGTGGAAGGGCTCCTGGCTGACTTTCCCCCTGCCACGCCGTGGCCCCCTTCCGGCCCGTGCCCCTGGAGACCTGCCCGAAGTTCCAGCCTTGGGCTCGGATGTGCTTCTCCACGCCTCGGAAGATGATCCCGCTGTCGTTGAGCACATACTCCTGTCTCTCCTCCTCTGAGGCCAGAAACACGTTGTCCTCTGAAAAGTAGTCGTCAGGCCCGGCGTGGGCGGGGGCTCTGGCCTTTCTGGCCTGGGGAAGGGGCTGCATCAGGGACCAGCTACAGGACGGTGCCTGGAGGCTGACCAGGGCAGGAGAGGGCAAGAGGGGCTTGCGGGCTCTCAGGCTGCCCCGCAGCCAAGCCCCGTGCCACCTGGCTGGGCTTTCCCCAGGCAGGGACCAATCCCAACCCAGCCCGAGACTGAGGGATTTTAAAAGTCCTGATACCTTGGGGTGACTACTTGATGCCAACAGCAGCCTCATATTTCTTAAATATGAATAAAAATACCAATCCAGGATCCTGCTTACTTACTTAGCCCTTAATAAGAATAATGACCGCAGTGCCCCTTATGATGTGCCTTGTACATTACAAACACAAGTGCTGTGCATTCTCGCTATAACCCTAAGAGGTAGGCACCGTTATCCCCATGTGACAGATGAGGGAACAGACTCATAGAGGGAAGCAACTTAGCAGAGCTGAGACTAAGCCAAGGCTGTCTGATGGCTAGAGCCCAGCTCTTCCCCACTCCTGGGCCTCTCCTGCCATCAGGCCCCATCCCTGTCCACTGGCCTCCACACACCAGAACCCACTGACTCCGGCCTCTCTGGCACAGGCTCCTGTGTAGCACCTGCTACCAGGTTCCTCTGCCCCATGCCTGGCTCTCGCCAAGCTCTTGGCATTCATCTCCCTGTCCCTTAACCTGCCTCATGGGCCCCTCCTGTAGGACAGCCTCCAGGAAAGCCTCTGCCTTGGGCTTGGCAGCTCCTACCTGGGCACCATGGGTTGAACAGGAGAATGAACTCGCCCAGCTTCCGGTCACTGTGTTTGCGACGAGAGGAAACCCTGGCGCTCAGTAGGTAGCGGCCAATGACGGCGTTGGGAGGGCTGGCGAGGCTAACGGTCACTGTGTCCTCTGCCTGAGCCTCCTTCACTGCTGTCCAGGCATCGCCCACCTCCAGCTCCGATGTCGACGTCTGGAACACAGCTTTGGTGCGGAGGCCCTCAGAAGCCTGGGGTCCTGTCGGAAAGGAGAGGGAATCAGGAGACCTAGCTGCCCCGAGGAAACCCGGCTCTATAGAAGTGGAAAAGCTGCAGGCCTGGAAGAGCAACCCCTCACCCCCTGAACTGCTGGGACCCAGCTGCAGAGGGGGACCTGACAAGTGCACAAGAGGGCCAGTGCCAGAATGGGGTAGACCAGCTGTCCTGACTCCCACCCACTTCCTAGGTCAAGGAGAAGTGACAGGACCCTTTGAAATGAAAGTCTGCCTTATGTATGGCCAGGAAAGAAAAGCCTGGACTCCAAAAGTGGCTGATGAATTTCCATACCCTTCCAGAGCCCTAGATTGCTCAGTATGCTTAGGATTCCAGAGTTGTCATCTCATCTTTCCCACTGCCTGCTGGCAGCACCTTCCGACCATCCCCAGAAAGCTGTCACCAAAAGCCTCCAGGGTTCGGGGATCAGCCCACCTCCAGGGTCCTGCTTCCCCCTAAGTCTGGGCTGATGACCACAGGGCCTCAGGTCACTGGTCACAAGACGTCTTTCTGCCTGCAGACCAGCGGAGGGCGCTGGCGAGCCAGTTACCTGTCTCCACAGTGAAGATGAAGGTCTCCTCGCTGTCCAGGGATCTGTTTAGCTCCAGTGTGATGGTGAATATCTGGCCCCTGCGAACCACCAGCTCAGGGCCGGGGTACTCCTGGGTGTGGTGGGCAGCGCCATTCCTCAGCTGCTGCCAGTCCACCTCGGTGACTCTGATCCCTGAACAGAGAGAGGACAGGGAGGTGAGGCCAAGCCCTTGGCACGTTTCTCATCCGCGCCTGGCTGCCCTCCCAGCTGCTTCAACATGCCAGTCATTTGCTCACGCAGCCACTCTTCACCACGTAGAGTAGATTCTGGTTCTTCATGGTAGTTACTTTCTATAAAGTCTCCATGAGTACTGAATTAGTGAGTGCTGAACCAGCGTTTCTAGGGGAAATACAGGGCCAGGTTCCCACGAGCCTCTGGTCACAGCATTTTCATCAACTGATCAATACATAACCTTGTTTTATGTGTGTTTCTGTTTAAAGACACCTAGTTTAATATACTGATTCATTCACGCTGAACTCGTGGACAACAGCACTGCCACTCATGCCTGAAAGAAGCTCGTCTGACACGTGTGTTTTCTCCGTAAGGCACATCATGGCCTTCCTGTGCTCGGGAACAGTAGACAGCACTTCAGCCCTGTGCTTGGGGCCATTTAAACAGCAAAATCACCAACAAAAAGGGCAGAAATGCAAAAAACATGGCATTAAACAGACCTGGAAAGGACACTTGCTTATGGTCTGAGAGCAGAAACAAGATGGCGGAGTGTCACTGGCTTGACTTCAGTTGGGGGCATGTGTATTAGGAGATTCCACTTTTCACCCCTCTGCATGTGACTCAAATGACCACGAAATTGCCAAGAGTATTGATTTGGAGTTTAAAATAAATTTTAGCAAGTAAACCAATGTGCAAACACGGAATCTGTGAATATTGGGATTGACTGTGTGTTCTCTGTGCTAGGCTAGTGTCTGGCGCTGGGATATATAGGTGAACAAGACAGATGTGGGCTCGCCCTGGAGAGATACACAGGGAGCCTGGGTGGCTCAATGGTTCTGAGCACAGCCTCTCGGGTCAGCTGATGTGGGTTCAAATCCTGATGTGGTCATCTACTGGCTGTACCTCAGTTTCCCCTTCTATAGAGTGGGAATAATAGTCCCTCATGGACAGTGGCCTGGCATTTAGAGCCTTTAGAACATGAGAGCCCAAGAGTATCAGTTATTACATTCCAGACGAGCAAGGGTGACACCTAAATAGGTGAGTCCACAAATAACTAATTATCACCCGGATACACGCTGTCAAAAAAAAGTACACGGAGCTAAAGGAGCATGTAACAGAGGGGCCTGGCCTGGCCTGAAGGGTGACCAGCAACTTCAGACCAGAAGGTGGCATAGAGGCTGAATTTTGAATTGGAGGGGGTGTCACCAGCGTAGAGGTGGGGGCCATATCCAGCCTCAGCCCCAGCATCCTCTCTCTCCATCTATTTGGGGTTCATTTGCTCAGGTGTCAGGCGTCGTGCTGGGTGCTGCGGACCCAAAGTCCGTAAGATTTACACCAGCCCTGACGCCAGGCAGTTGACAGTCCGGTGGTTGGCATTAAGCAGATATATCTTAAATGTGTAAGAGCAAGCTTTGGGAAGTTCCCTACGGAGAGGCATAGGGAGCCCCAGGGCCACAGAACACAGGGCTTGTGCAGCCCTGGCCCCTCGCAGGACCTATAGCTGCACAGAGGCGGGAGGCAGCCCAGTGACGTCTAAAATATTTAGGAGAAAGTGGATGCGTGGGGAAGGCAATGAGGCTGGAGGATCGCAGGGCCAGACCACCAAGCTTGGAGGGGGCTGAGGAGTCTGACATGATCCTAAGGGCAGCGGGAAGGCAACGAAGTGTTGGAAGTGGGGGCATGCTGGTCAGACTGGCACCCTGGAAAGATCGCCCTGGTGCGGTGTGGACAATTGACCATCAATACCCGATGAGAGGCTTCAGGACGCAAAGGGATGCTCTTCCAACACTGCCTTTTCATTTTGTCACTCACGTGCTCCCAAACCTCCGCTGGATGCCCCACTGCCTCTTCTGACCTGTCTAAACTCCTTTGTCTCGGACAAAGGACTCTGCAGGATCCCACTGCTTGCCGCCCCTCCAGCTCCCCTCCCCTCCCCCACAGCTCTGTTACCTTTTGCTTGAGCTGCCCCCCAAGAGTTGTGCCCCCAACCTCCTGCCCACACGCCCACCCCGGGTATCGCTTTCCTGCCTTGTCCTGTCCTTTGCTGCTTCTGGCTGGGGTGCCTCGGCTCTGCCCTTCCACCACAGTTCATCTCTCCTTTGTTTAATCAACAGTTAGATTTAGAATAATATAAATAACAATAATAAAAGCTTGCATGTATTCAAATGTTTATGCTTCCCAATGACCCTGTGACACTGTGTCAGGGTCCTAACACGACCCTGTATCAGGGCACTAAGACCCTTCCTGCTTTCCAGATGCGGTCACCATGCGCTGGGCTCCCTGGCCCCTCTGGGCCCCTAGGGTCTGTTCGTAACATGGCAGTCAGAACGGTCCTGTTAAACTCTCACTTCTCTCAAATTCTCCAGTGGTTTCTTACACTCACCTGCAAGCCCTTCATGATCGGGTCTTTTGATGTCTTTCTGGGTCTTCTATTTTTCTTCCCCTCTCTCTCTCCTCTTTAGTCACACTGGCCTCCTTACCATTCTTTGAACCTGCCAGGCGTGCTCCCTCTTCAGGGCCTTTGCACATGCTGTTCCCTCTACCTGGATCACTCTGCCCTCAGACACCTGCCGAAGCTGCTCCCTCACCTCCTTCTTCAGGCCTTTGCTCAAATGTCACCTTTTCAGTGAAGCCTTCCCTGACGACCCTTTTATAAACCGCAAATCACCCCTGCCATGACCCCCATCCTTCTTCACTGGTTTTCTGCATGGCACTTATTAACATCTTGCACACAATATATTTGATTTCTTTTTTTTAAGTTGCCTACCTCCCCTTTCAAGAAAATCATCTGCACCAGGGCAGGGAGTTTGTGGGTTTTGTTCACTAATGGGGCCCCAACAACTAGACCAGCGCCGATCTATGGAAGGCGCTCAACAAATATTTCTTGAATGAATGAATGCAGGAGGAAACTGAGGCCAAGAGAAGTAAAGTGACTTGCCAAAGGGCACACGATCAAGCAAGGGCTGGAACTGAGTGTACCAGCTGCCTTCCAGCTCTTGACCCCTCGGCGAGTTGCCTTCACACTGTTTTGCTTGTGACCCACACAAGAAATACTTCTACCTCGTGCCCCAGTGCATGCAAACGTATATGCTATATGCGTGGACGGATGTAGATAAACTGAAACAAAAGTTTAACTCATATTTTCCCTTATTAAGGAAAATGAATACTGAAATTTTATGTTCTTTTCTGCCAAAGCTCTTGAGTCACAGACCACTTGGGACACACCAGTGGTTGAGCGAGTTGGGTTTATCACTCACGGTGGGGAGGAAGAACGCACCCGATGGAGAATAAGGCGCCTCAGGAAGAGGATGTTGGAAAGGACTTCTTGTGGGATTTGGGCTTGTGTTAGGGATTTGGTGAGAGTTCAAGGAAGCAGGGCTTTGCTCTGGTTTGGATGCTGTCAGAAAGCAGGGCAAACTTATGTCCGGGTGTCTTAACAATTCTCATGTAGAAGGTGGGGAATGAATGGAGGCCGAGGCTGTAAGTGGTGAAGAAGCAGCTGCTGCTCATCTTAGCCAGAATATGCGGATGTTGAGTCATTTTTGGGGCTGGATAATGTTCCTGCTTCTGTCCGTGTTCACACATGGTTATGGAATGCTCTTGTTTTTGTCTCCATCCATCACGGCCACCTAGTGGTCCTGTCTGATGTTGGTGTTCTAGGAAACTGTCTATGTTCACCTGGCGAACACCGCGGCCAGCTCCAGCATCACTGAAGCCTGGCTGATAACACTGGGCCAGTTCTTGAACGCCAGGGGCTACGTTTCATTCTTAATTTTATTTCTTTTTTAAAAATTGATTTTTCTGCCCATTTGATTCATGACCGACTATGAGTGGCTTCTGCTATTTGGCAAACAGCACGCCCTGTCACAGTTGCCTTCCACACCCCGGGCTCCTTCTACCGACCCGTTTCCAACCCGGCTGCACACTGGAATCACCTGGGAAACTGGAAGATCCTGATGCCTAGGCCCTTTCCCCAGAGACCCTGCTTTAATTAGCTCAGGGAGTTGCTTGGGCTTTGAGAGTTGTAAAAGCTCCCCAGGTGTGTCTAGTTGCAGTCTTGGTCGAGGGCTGCTGGCCTAAAGTCCAGTCTCCTAGACTGCCTGCATTTCTTCTCCTCCAGCGTGGGGTCTGACACGGAGCAGCGCCAGCACAGGCAACATCTGCTGCAGAAAGGTGCACTCGAAGCAGCTTGATGTAATCCTCCTTGTAAACAGCCGTTTCTAGCGGGGATGGTTCAGGGTGGCACTGCCCGCAGGAGCTTTTTGGATGTCTGGGTCAACAATGTTGGATTCCTTTAATGATGACCTCCGGTGGAGAGATGCCAGATATCCTGAAATTCGATAGACTAGTTGTCCCAAGTCCCATGCGTCATTCAACTGTCCCACCGGACATTCGTGTGGGGAAAATCCTATTTATTACAATCTAAAACCAACATCCAACTCTGTTTTACATGGATATATTAAGTTTTGCAATGTTTTAAAATTTACTGAATTTGTAAGAGTGCAACTATTCTGTCAATGCAAGATTGTACTTATCTTGTTTGGACTTTCCCAGGTTCCCCATTCTGATTTGGGAAAGTCCTGTCACACATGACAACACTGCATGAGTTGAGTCCCTGACACAGCCCACAGGGTCGAGTCTGCACCTGTAGCTGTTGCGTTCATGGTGTTTCTACAAACAGGACGGCGGCATCTGACCACTTCATCATGTCTTCTGATAAAGTGTCAGCAAACATTTACATATTTAACTAGAAATTGATTTCCTTTTATATTGCAGTTAGAATATAATTTTTTTTTGGTGAGGAAGATTGGCCCTGAGCTAACATCTGTGCCAATCTTCCTCTATTTTATGTGGGATGCTGCCACAGCATGGCTTGATGAGCAGTGTGTAGGTCTGCCCCCAGGATCCGAACCTGGGAACCCCAGGCCACAGAAGTGGAGCCCATGAACTTAACCACTATGCTACTGGGCCAGCCCCAGGGTACAATTTTTTTTAAAAAAGAAGTATGTTAAAAAAGAGGGTATTAGGGACAAAGGAGTTGGTGTTTTAGATATCTATTGTTGCTTAACAAATCAGCTCAGAGCTCAGTAGCTCAGAAAAACAATAA